TAAATAAATATATATATAAATAAAAGAGCTGCCATGGTGACAGTTTGGAGGAAAGGATGGGAGTAGGTGGGAAGGCACACTTTCTTGTCCATTCTTCTAAACCAGGATTACATGTTTGTACAACTCATTTACCAAATTTCACAGTAAACTATCTGACAGGAGCAAACTGGTAGGCAAATTGTCACTGATACATCTACACCCAGTCAAATAGAAAGGCTAAAATAATTTTCCAACAGTTTCACATGTTACCATGAAGTTAGTTAAGTGAAATAGTGAACTTATACTGGTCATATGTGTGAATGTGAGCGTGAATGATTGCCCTGCAACAGACTAGCGACCCATTTTGGATATACCCCCACCTCTTGTTCTATAATGGTTGGGATAGTCTCCACCCCCTTAACGACCCCAAATTGGATAAGCTGAAGGAAATGGATGGATGGAAGTAGCTGGAGCTCTGTTAACAGCATGCTCTGAGAAACTGCAAAAAACCCAAGAGCTCAAACTCTATAGGCCTCTGTTAACATGTTAAATGTAGAAGCTGATGGCAGTCCAGTTGTCAAGTATGGTGGTGGATGGGTAATGATTATGGGGCTTAGTTTGCAGCCACAGGAGCATGAACTCCTCTAGATGTGAGGACATCTCTGCGACAAGTTAAAACTTCCTTGAAACTGAGCCATACAAGAGGGCATTTACCTTAAGTACTAATATCTGCATGGAAAAGTTCTTACCCTGCAGAAAATTGTACAATTAGTGTCTCATTAGTGAAACATGTACACTGGCCCATTTTTAACTTACCACCGTGCATTTGTTGGTAGAGCTGAATTATTCTGAACCAACAGGGCTATGCAATCTGCTGTCAGACACTCACTACAGCTTGAGTGAAAGCTCAATAAAAAAAAATAAAAAAAAAAAGACTACAAGAAAAGGAACCAAGCAAGTGAACGCCATGGAGCGCATGATTTGCCAGTCCAAGATAAGAAAATCACCCTAAAGAAGAAAATGAAAATCCAGATTCTCCAGCATCCATAGGATAGTGCCAAGATGCCTAAGTGTCGACAATATCAGAAGTATTTTAATGAAAGATATGATCATTTAAAATAAGATGAGTTGAGATAAAGAATACTGGAATATGTTTACACTAAAAAGTTTAGTGTTATGTTTTCAAGAGGAAGTAATGGCTGTATTCATGTTAAAGGCTATTTAAATTGGCTGAACAAGACAAAAAAAAATATCAAGGTCCACACCTCAACCAAGCTGAAACGCTGTCACACAATCTTGTACATAATTATTTCCTCCGCTGAAGTTTTTCAGACACTACCTTTGCATTTTGATGGATGGACGTGGTAAGTACCAGCTGATTTATTTTATTATGTCCTGATACATAAAACCATAAAATTGATAGAAAGTTTTTGTATGACTGTAGAAGTTTGTTTAAGCATTTATCTTTATCAAACGTGACGCTCAGGTCTGAGTTGGAACAGAATGTGTGGCCCAGCATCTCACCTGGCTGGAGTACCCAGCTGTTTCATATCCTCCAAAGATGTAGAGTTTAGTGTTAATATTAGCACCGCAGAAGCCCGACAGGTCTGGTGGGATGTCTCCAGTCATCTCTCTCCGCTCCCTGCAAAGACAAAAACGTTAAAAAACGCCTGTAAAAGATAAGAAGGTAAAGCCTTAGAAATCTTAAACACACATATAAAGTAAACACTAAGAAAGGTTGGCTTTGGTTTTAGTTGACCTGACTCAAATAACCATAAAAGAAAAGGCTGTTTTTTGAATGCTAAGTCACTTATATCTAGTTTGTCCTAGCCTCTGATACATGTCAGTGTGACACACCATTTGTCTCAGCTGATAAACAGCCCTCATTTGATCTTACCACATCCCACTGTCTAAATCACAGAGCCATATCTCATCACTGGGCAACACGACATCCTGTCCGGCAACTACCTGTGAAGGAACAAAGACAAGATAAAGCTGTGAATGTCCTCTTTTGTTCACAAAAGCTGCACATTGCTGAAAAGCTGTGGTGACCTTAGATGGCTGATGGACATAGCAACAACCTGGATGCAGCAAGATGCAGTTTAAAAAAAATGTTTCTTGTTGAAACATGCTAGAAGGATTTCCTAGAAGGATATTTGAAATCTCCAGTTCATTTGCCAAGTTGGTTTCCGCAGTGTTTTCTTTTTAGTCTACATATACATCTACAGTCACAAACGCATTGAACCAAAACAACTGTTCACTTTTAATTAAAGTGAACAGTTAAAGTGAACAGTTACACAAAGGTGCTTGTACACCTTTGTGTAACTCGCTCAGTTCAGTAGCAGCTCAAGCTGTAATACCTTTCAACGACACATGCTGGATGCATGTTATTTGCCATACTCATAAATACGAACACTGATATACTCCGGTAATTTATTCCTTTAGGATTCAATTTCCTCAAAGTAAACACAGCGAGGACGCACTGAGTTACCATAGAAGCAGTCACCAGTGACTTTTTCCTTTAAATTTATTGTCATGACTTGGCTCCGCGTAGAAACACCTGCACCTAATCATCCAGGTAAAGAAAGGAAATTCTAGAAAGTTCATTCTCTTCATCGAAACGTTTTCCCCCACTGATGACGTTCAGATAAACAATCAAGTTTTGGGGACCTGCACAGGTAGCGAGGCTATAATTACACCTCGGCTCTTCTTACCTGGTAACCTCCCCACACATACAGCGTATTATTGTGTATGAACGCGGTGTGGCTGCTCCTCTCCAGCGGGCTGACCGGCGCGTCTCTCTGAGCAGCATCCATCCCAGCTCTGCGCTCTGACTCTCCTGCCTGATGAGCAGCGCCACGTCGCCCAAATAAAAACCGCCGAAAAGTGCTTAACAAAGCTTAAGGTGAATGCTGTGGCGGCTCAGAGGACCTGATCATGTCGCTCTGGCTCAGAGAAAAGTGCCGTCTGAATTGGAGGCTTTGCGGAACGTGTTTTTCAGGCTTGCTGCCTTTGTTTACTCCTCCCATAAGCATGAGCCCTTCATGCAAGTTCGGCACACCAGGTATTGCGTGTTTAGAATACCTAAGTGATTAAGAATCATTTGTTTAGCATGGGCCGCATGAAAATTTAACACATTTCTCTGTGATAGAGTGAAATATAATCATGCTAGTATACTCAACAATAAACAGGCAGGTTAGAAGCAGTGAAGTGGATATTTTAACACCCCAAACACAGATGAAATCAGAACATAGAAGTGCCAAGTATGGCAGGTAGGTTTGGTATTAAGGAATCTGCTCCGAGTGATACATCTGTTCCTTTTCTTGTCAACCTGTTATACAGCCAAGACTTCTCCCCCCTCCCCTCTTCAGGAGCTTCCAAAATTCTAGTTGAATTCTAGTGAAATGAAGGTCAAAACATTAGTTTCATTGATCCTGTTTTTTCCCATAATACTGTAAATCACATTTAATCTGTGTATTTTCACTACATATTAATGGTCATCCACTTCCTTCTGCAGGAGCTCTTTGTCTCTAAAAGCACATTTCAAGGTTCATGTTAAACTTGGACTCAAGTAGAGTAGCTTTGCATTATTCAGTTTAAAATAATACTTGTTTTTCTCATACTGGTCTTTGTTACAGCCCCATAGACTGTTTTAGGGCCTCTCGCTTTAAGCCATCCTTCTTCTGATTGGTAAACATAAGGTCTGTGGGACTGCCGTGTGCCACATGTGACCATATATGGGATATCCACACTCAATGAACTAAAACAGAGTCCAGAGTGAGGATCAAACTATCTGTTTAGAACACTTTGAAGCATCAGCTTTCGTCATTTATAAATATTGATTTCACTATTCGCAATTTTGGTATGTTTTTATCTTAATATAAGGATCCCCTGATGTATCTGTATAAATATGACAGAAAATGATGAAAAGCACAAAATGTCCATCTTAAAAGATGTTGAAAACAGGAATTTCCCTTCTATCTTTTCTACATGTAAAGACACACCCAAATTCCTACAATGATTTCAGTGTGACAGATGGCGATGAAACTAACTTCCTGACTTCCTTATTTCACAGAGGAACTTGTTAAACACAGTGTTATTGTTTTTAACATGACTGCACAAAAACAAAGTTTCCACAGGATTTGATGGAGTCCCATTGCATGACCAAATTTGGACCAAGCTTTAGCGTTGGACAATATGGCCTCACATTTGACAGGGTCATGTGACATCAGCCCAAGGCTGTTAAAAACATGTTCTGCAGAAATATGTGGTCCTCCAGCACACCTGCATTTGCAAAAGGTCCTAAGCCTGTGAAACACCTCTTGCTTAGTCCCTGTTGCAAAGGAGAGTCATCACACCAAATACCAAGACTATAAGACCCGTAGTGCTCACCACATGTCATTATGACGCTTGAGGGGCTGGTCCTCTCGTATATCAGAGTTTTTGTGTCAAATCAAACCTTATTACAGCTTGCTTCCTTAGACCACAGTATGTGCATTAGCAAACATCATCTCTATATGGTAGGCACTGCACGGCCTGTTTTTTGTGTGTCCACAATGGAGACAAACATATCAAGAAGACTAGCTCTGTGTTACAGTCTCAAAACAGAGGTAGTCCAGCAGGTGGTGGAAGAATAATCCTCTTGAAAGTGAAGTCAATTATGATCAACCCTGCACACCCACGCCATGCCCTGGAGGTTATCAACAGTAGCATCTTCAGCCAAAGACTCAGTGCACCACAGTGCAAGCTGCTATAAGACTGTAATGCACAATAACACTATTCGATCCAGGTTTGCATGTTATTGGCAGTTGTATTTAATTGTTTATATATTATTGACTTTATTAGGAATTAATATTGTTTTACTGAGGAGATAACTGACTGTGAGGTGCCGGGGTGTGTGTACTGCAAAATAAGCATCTGGTCTTCATCAGCCTTCCAGGGACTGATGATGAAAATTAGCCCGTATGTCTGTGTGTGCCATGGCTACGGAAGAGGATTAGGGCCACTGGGAAAAAAATCTGAATTCTGAGATTAAAGTCAGAATTCTGACTTTTTTCTCAGAATTCAGGAAAAGAAGGGAAAAAAAAGACGTGCCCACTTTTTTTTCCCCCCCCTAGTGGCCCTAATCCTCTTCCATACATGGCTTTGTGAGTAAAATGAACATTACCTGGTGTGAAAGGCTTAAAATAAAAGACAACCGAATCAAATACACTGACATTTATTTCAATACAGTCATTCATACATAATGAGACAAAATAAATACAAATCCGGAAATAACAGTACTGCAGTATATGCAATTTTCCCTTTGCATATGATATGTTCTGCATATCACAAAATGGAGTTCAGTACATCTTCAACTTATTTTTGTTCTTTGCAGACCCCAGAGAAGTCTGATGATTCTCAGTTCAAAGTCAAAAATGAAAGAAAAGGGGAAAAAAAAAAAAAAAGCTCATAAACACAGCTGGGTTTTTAGTTTAGGGATAATTTAATGTGGCTGAAGATATCAGAGCTCAAATAACTCAGCTGAAATATCCATTTAACAGTCATTTCCGAGTGCAAATATGCAAATTACGTTTTAAACTTTATAAACACTCATTTCAAATCTTCATTTTTAATGTTTTTGCCACACAGTTATTATTAAATTATTTCATTAAATGCATGAATAAGCAGCATAAACAAATCTCCTCTGTGAGCCTTAACAATTGCCTGTTTAATCACACATATATATATATATATATATAGAGAGAAACATTCCACAAAGCGCTCATATTTACACAAATTATTTTTATTGATCAATCTAATTTTTTTATTGCATGATTATGGGTATAAAAAAAAAAGTTTTGGCCCCGTAATAGTGAGATATCATGGGAAAACTGTAACGCTTAAATTAAAAAAAAAAGAAGGCACAATCAAGATCTGTTAATAAAAACATTTCTCATTATTCTACAAGTACAGTACTAAATATTAATGCTGGAAATCATGTCTGAATAATTTGTGCATTGAGAGAAACAGAAAACATACTGTGGATCACTTTTGTGTAAACATGATGGTTAAGAAGACATTGATGTGACAAGCAAAGTAAAGGGCGTGAATGGTCACCTTTCCACTGCACAAACTTGTAGCAGGAACCAAGTTTACAGGAAGTCCCCATGATCATCTCTTACAATCTGTGGAGATCCTGAATGCACCAAAAAAAAAAAAAAAAGGCGAAGGGTAAGGCAACGCTATGATTTCTGCTCATACCTTGGTTTTTCTCTACTGATCGGTGCATTACAGCTTTTACCAGATTAGTATGTTTTGGTTCAGGAAACTGAAATAAGTCTTTGACGCAGTCTCCGAGACTTTCCATCTTGATTTCGGTCTCAGTTTCAAAATTATTAACCCACTAGTTAAACTATGAATCTGTGAAACCAGATGATGATGGTTGTCATTCGTTTTATCCACTTAAATTTTACAATTTGAAAGACTCCTAATCTTCTTTGTTCGAATAGGTTTGGGGTTTTTCAAAGATTTTCTTGTTCTGAAACTAAAGAAAAAAAAAAAGAAGTAGTGTTTGATAGTAGTTAAGAACCTCTAAGTACAGGCTGTTATCCTGGAGTAGATTCTGATCCAGAAGCAGTCCTACAAGAGGTTTTACAGGAGTGGGTGTGGGGATTCCTGAGTTTAGAATAGGTAATGGTGCAAGCTACTTATTAGTTCCTGCAGTGGAAAACGGCCAACTGTAAAAAATGTTTGGATACAATAGATTGGCAGCACCCTCGACGTCTGACCAGGCCTTTTTTGATGTCGTGGCTGAATCAGAAATCAGAGAGGTATTTAAATCACTGGTCAGTAACATTTGGCTGCATCATGTGAGCAGCACGAGGCTCTGAATGCCTCTACATTAGTGCAAGAGAGTCTAGCTACTGTAGCACTGTGACTTCAAATACCTTCATCTTCATGCTTGCTTTAAGTCAGTTAGGGCAGGCAAACTCATAATTGCACTTGAGGTTACATCATGTGAAAGCTAAATTTTGTTTTCTTTACTCTCCACCAGCTTACGTTTAACAGTCTGGCCCCGTGGCTCACAGCTCAGCACTGTCCCTACTGACCGTGCTCAGTCCTGCAGATCCCTCTCCATGTATTTCCTCATCCGCTGACAGCGAGGACAGGACTGCTCATCAGCCTTGCAGCTTATATGAAACAAAGCTTTGCAATCTTCACACCTGGGCAAGAGAAAAAACAAACCAAATTAAAGGCACTGTGGACACAATTTCCACACCACTTCTAGTAAAAATACTAATGACCACAGTTAGCATATGTTAAAGGTTTTGTTTTGCTTTTCCACAAACTTAAAGTATGATTTTCACAAAAGAATTTCTCAGTCAGTTGACGGTGTCAGCCTTAAATCCTCCGATAGAGAAAATGTGTTTCCCCAATAATTTCCACACATATAGGTGTTATTTTTATAGCTTTGGAGACACAGATTTTAAGATCTTATCAATATTTTAAAATGAGGTACAGGACAAGACACTCATCTATATTAGAACAGTTTGAATTCACGTTCTATAAAGCGCTTCTTTGGTAAAGCTGAGCGAGTGGTTGCAGTTGTCACACTATACCTTAGGCTCCTTCCGCCTCACACCCACTCTCACTCAGAAGCTCAAAGCCCCCTTGGACTTTCTCCACACTAATGAGTACACTGTAATTTTCAAAGCCACCAGACAGCAGTTGCTAATCTAAATCTAAAGTGTGTTCTCAGGTATAATTACTATTTTTGTCAGTGGAATCTGGCTGGTTTGACAAGAGTGCAAAGACTTCAGTTCCACTTCAAAAACAGCACATGAAAACAGGGCATTGAGGGATTTGTAGATGAGAAGATCGATCTCGTAATTAATGCGTTACTTGACTGGGAGCCAGTGGAGATTTATGAGGGTGAGTGTGATATATTCCCCGAGCTTAGTGCATGTTAGAAGCCTGGCAGATGAGTTCTGGACATACTGGATTCTGTCCAGGGCTTTGCAGGAATTTCGAACAGGACCCCACTGCAGGAAGCCAGCCGGGTGGTGACAAAGACACGGATGATCATCTGTTACAGATTTTGTGTGACTGATGTCAAGAGATGTTCATTAGGTTGGTGACAAATCCCATATGAGCCTGGAAGTAGTGATTGTAGTGAGACCTACAATCACTACAATCACTACTGACAGAGGCGCCACCCTGGGGCGCCTCTGTCAGTGCGCCCCAGGGTGGCTGTGGCTACAATGTAGCTTGCCATCACCAGTGTGTGAATGTGTGTGTGAATGGGTGGATGACAGGTTGTGTAAAGCGCTTTGGGGTCCTTAGGGACTAGAAAAGCGCTATACAAATACAGGCCATTTACCATTACTAAGATGGATGGTTTGGAGATGGTGGCACTGGCAGAGTTGCAGGTAGACAAGTTAAAATGCTGAGAGTTTCAGTGCGAGTGAGCAGGACAGACAAGTTTGTGTAACAGAAGGACTGTTCAGGATGAGCGTTTTGAATACAAAGTTAGAGAGGCAAAGCTGAGATGGTTTGGACATGGAGCTGGCAGACAGGAGGAAAAGTGGAAAACCACAGAGAAGAGAAGGAGGACATGCAGCGGGTTGGAGTGACAGAGGAGGGTGCTAGATATAGGGTGAGATGAAGGCAGGTGATCCACTGTGGCGACCCCTAAAAGTAGCAGCCAAAAGAAGATCATTTTGGTCTGTGTGCTTTATTAAAAGAGTTTTCTACGTCTCTCTGGTAGATTGTGTCTTGCTATTCATATTAACAAGAGGGCTTCAGTTTATTTTTGTCCTGTTTACACTTTATATAGCCCACGTTAAAAAGCAACAGACAGTGGCGACTAAACAGAACACTGAAAACACAAACAAGGGAAAGGAAGTCACACAGAAGAACAGGATGTTTAAAAAGTTGGAGCTGGTGTTTAGCATTTAATTTAGAATATTTGGACAAAAGGCTAGCCTCATTGTGGACTTTTTCCTCTTTCTTTTTAAAACTATTTAGTTTTAGGGCTCAAATAAATAAAAAGAATGAGGAATGAAGAGAGATGCCTTTGAAAAACATACCTTGTGGTTGTCTCAAACTGGAAGGGGAAGATGGTGTCATCAGAGTGGCATATCTGACAAATGTAGCCACGCTGGGTGCAAAGGTCGCAGCTGAACACGTGATTAGAGGCATGTTGCACCAGCCTGCGCAGAAAGTTTACATACTGGCCCTCTGCTACCTGACAAAAAAGAAATAAAAAAAAATACAGATGCCTATATGTAGGTATTTTAAGGTGGCGATCCTGTATGCAATAAAAGCGGGCCAGAAGGTTACCTGTCGCAAGTCCTTGACACTGTACAGGTGGTTTGACTCCAACAGGTAAGTTCGCTGCCCCATTCTAGAGAGAGAAATGGAAGGAGAAGAAAAAAAGGAAAGAAAGGTGTTTAACATGTTTTATAGCATTTAAATTGATTGTTCCTATTGAAAAGAAATTCAATAGGAACAATGTAGCCTAGAGTAATTTATTGTTATTGCCAAGGCATTCTGCCAAACACCTCGCTTGGAGTTTCTTGCAGGCTCCACTGCGGCAGGTACGCAGATATTCACCCAGAAGGCATAGCTTCTGCCTCTGCTCGTGGGCCTGACCCATGGACTCTGTGTGCGCAACCAACTCAGGGTTCAGCTGCTCCAGGTTGAGCAGAGGCTCTTGTTCTACCTGCTTCAGAAGCCACAGGGCTTTCTTAGACACCTGTGCAGACAAACAAGTGTAAGCAGTCTCATGAGGCTGACATGTTGCTTCAAAATGTTCAGCAATTAAAAAAAAAGAAAAAAAAAAAAAAGAAAAACTAGAATATTTAGTTATGAGTGGGTTAGAATACATAAAACAAACCCGCACAGAAAAACTGTAAGAGGACTGTACTGTCAGTTAGCCTGGAGGAAATGCAAATAGTCTGTACTGCCATTTAACTCTATTTCAGCAGATGGCGCTGTATGAACAGTTTCTGTGACAAACAGCAACAACCAGACTTTTTGGTCTTAGAAAGAGGAGACCTCCTCCAAATATAAACACTGTGTTAGCACATTTAGTACATATTAGCCTAATCCATTCTTCAATTCCTGATTCAGGTTTGCACTGTAATAAATCAATGTTTGAATCAAACCTCAAAACTTGCAAGAAATAAAAAAGAAAAAAGGTTACTCATTCATATTCATGACAGTGATCACATTTATGCTCATAATTAGTGTATGTGAACATAAATATTTCCTTAATTAAATTTGAGATATTAAAAACTGAAATGGCATTTACTTTTTGACTTGATTGTTTTAGCAAAGCCGTCTTTTTATTTAACCTCAGAGGTCACAAAACAGTTAAGTTGCAAAAAAAACAAAAAACAAAAAAACAACAACAAATATTAGAAAACATTTTTGTAGTTTCAAATGAGACTCAGACCTTTAAGATGCAAGTTCATAGAGTTTGGTGTAACACATTACACAGTGTGCTTCATGCTTCCAGTCTGCAGCACTCGTGTTAATACCCAAGGCCAGTTTCTTCAAATGACACTAAGCTTTCATCTAAATTAGCAGGTAGGAAGTCATATATGTTTGTTTTTCTAATTGCTGTAACAAATTTGTAACAATTTTTTTTATAGAAGTTTGTTTGCAGATAGTTACGTGTTGCACCTACCTCTCTTTGGGCGACATCCCAGTTGTGTACCATGCGTGAGGGGATGATGGAGGTGTCACCTTTGTGGCATGACTCACAGTAGTACAGCCCAGAGAACTCACATAACCTGGCTCTGCCCAGTGACAGTCCAATCTTCTGAGGACAGCCTGCAAGACACAGCAAAGCACAACTCAGTCTGAGTCACATCCACTCTAATAATGAGTCGGATTCCTCTTCCCTTAGACTCAATCAGTGATACATTATGATTTACAAGGCTATGCTTGATCTGCTCCACGTGTCAGAAGTTGCTGTCTGTCATCCCGAGATTTATCCCCCCCCCACAAAAAAACCAAACCCCAAAACAGATCTGTCAGCGGGATTACGCAAAGAAACACCTGACCGAGTTTTAAGATACTTGCTGGAAAAGTGGGACAAAAGCAAAGGAATAATACTTTAAATTTCTTTTGGGAAAATAGGTGGATCTTAAAGATGGGTTTTATTGGTTTTGGGGTAAAAGGATCGTAAAAAATACAACTGAACACAAGATCAGGTCTTAGACTCCTAGGCAACATGCTGATTTTTATCATCACACTCAAAACCAAACTAAACAACAGGAAATGAACAGACTGAACAGACAAGTGCAAATCTTCCATAATCTCCAGTTTTCTTAATGTAAAAGTTTCTTCTTTTTTTTAAGTACATAAAATGTCATTATCTACTGGTTTATGGATCCTGGATTTTAAAGTTTCAGCATTATTGTTTTGGCTGTCAATATATTAGTTTTGCAGAGCCAGAAGTGAACAATATTTGAACAAGAGATTGAAGTGCAAAGTTATTAGCCAACACAAGCAAGCTCAAGCCATAGGCTCACACACACAGATGCATCTGCAATGATCAGTACCACACAGCAAGTCAGGTCCATTAAAATGTTCCAAAAGGCACATTATAAACATTAGGCCATACCCTTAACTTTAAGCTTTAGTCAAATGCAAACAAATGCATTATTAATTTACTGTAAAGGTTATTAATGAAGGACGAAACTATCCAAGAGTCCAAAACTCTGTTAGTTCGAGGATGTAAACATGCTTTTTAATGCTGTTAAGTTGAGAATTTTAAAACAAGGTTGATTTTGTCCGTCTCAGACTGCTGAAGTCTTAAATTTAAAAAAAAAAAATTAAAAAATGGTGTGCTCAAACCCAGTAAAGGGTTTTGACCCAATCACTTACACTAGAAGTGCAATGAAAAGCTTCAACTTTTGATACTGCAGACAGGATGGATTACCACAACAAGCAAAATCTGCTTGATTTTACATCAAACAGGCTTCAAAAGGTTTAAAGATATTTTTTAAATTCTAACATTACCTGCACATTTGAAGCCCTGAGTGTCCAGGCCCTTCTCTGAGGGAACTTTGAAAAGGTGAACAAGAAGTGCTCCATCTTCTTTTAGCCTATGCTGCACCAGTCTGTACAGATTTCCAGTCGCTTCCAAAGGTACCTCAGAGCCTTCACACTCCCCATTCTCCAGGTATGAGTCAAGAGCCTCTCGGATAAACTTCCTCCAAAAGCGAGCCTCCTTGTCATTCTCCGCTCTAAATCTAAGTGTTTCTCGAATTGTCAGGAGCTTGAAAAAGGCTGGTCCCCCCTGAGAAACATCGGGTACCACATCCCGGATTTCCTCAACAGGGTAGTTTAGCCGCTGTAGCTTCCTTCCTTCTTTTACGAGAAATCCTTTCAAGGTCTCCAAGGAGAGAGAGAAAACCATACGTTCCCACGTCCGGGCCTCAGGATCTGTGGAGAAGTACAAAACAGCTTCTTTGATGGAATCCGTTTCTAAATTTGTAGTCGATGTCCAGTCAAATTCCTGCTGAGGAGGAGATGGAGAATCCTGCCCTCCACAAGCATCAGAACCAGACGGGCCTTGCTCAGGGCTGGAAGGGGACAAGGGTGGCGAAGAAACTGCACGTTCATCCACACCATTCTCACACCCGGTGTGCAGCACCTCCCACTGCTCGCCATGCGGTACTGGTCGGCTTTTGTTGACAGCCTCAATAATCCGGTCCACCCAGTCCTCAGCTTCGTCACGATTGGCCGCCCGGAGGTAAAGCCGTTTTCCAGGAAAGGTCAAGTCAAAGCGGCCGTCAGTTGAGGTGATGTGAACGTCTTCACATCGCACCAGGGAGCAGTTTTCGCAGCATGTCCGTTCATCTGCATTCCCATATAGGCGGAACTCAAAGGGTGACAGCTCGCAGTAGTAGTCGCGCCATAATCCTACGGCGCTGCGTCGTTCTAGGTGACCGAGCTTCAGCAATCCTCGAAAGGGGTTTGACAGCCCTGGGAAAAACACATACATAGATGACATTGTCGTGTTTTCACACTGAGAAGGCCTCTTTTATATCCATGTTTACTAGCTGAGCAATACATACAGAAAATTAAGCCACAATTGAACCTTTTGCATTATTTTGAGCAAAGTTGCAGGGTTGTCATAAATAAAAATAAATAAATAAAAGCTGGACTGGTTTTCAATGTAGCTGTCAACTGTGTGTTAAAACTTAAAGACTAAAAGAAAAATCCTCATTAGGACAGGGATTTGTGTCTATGTAAGAAACTATATTATTGTTTGTTAATGTGTTATTACATTAACGTCTGGTAATTCTATGACATTTAGGCCACGTTATATGGTAATGCAAATGTAACATAAGTAATCTAACAAATTACTTTCCCCAGAAAGTAATTCTTCCCTGGCAAGTCCTCTCAACTTGCTACAACACAGTGATGCAATGTAGAGAAAAAAAATGGAGAAGGAAACTGGGTTACAAGAAAAAGAACAGGCCGATACGTGAACTGACATTGGATTTCCAATCAACTATTACATGACTTCAGAGTTCCTGTTAGCAGCGCGAAAACAAAATGAAAAGAAGGCTTGGAATTCAAGTTGACATCCCCAGTGGGATAATTTCACCAGCCAACATTCCCCATTATTTGCTTCAATAGATAAGTTAACATTGACTCACAACACGGTTAAATAATCTAATCTGTTCATGTGAATGACTGAGATTAGCTACTCGTGAACAGTCCCATTATTGACAAAATGATTTTAAAAATAAATAATAACCATAGTCCATATGCTTTGTCACAAAATGTCCCATGACATGCTTCACTATCTGCGCTGTTAACGTTACGGTTACACTCTTTCACATTATTTCTATTTTTAAAACAGGCCATGGGACTCATCCAGGTGACGTCCTGCAAATGTAGTAAAATCACATTCCACAGTGATGTGGCCACACGCCAAGCATTATGTAACAGCAGGCGTTTTCTCTTTTGAGACCTGAAGGAAATTACCTGCTGGGAAAATCTGGGGGCGTGGCTTTAATCTCATTCCACGCTTTCTAGTGCTCCTGGACTTTAGTGCAGTATGTTACTTCATTTGTAATCCCTCAGTGGCTACCTGTATTGACCAGGTGTGCGCACACTGCAGGTACCACTAGAAGTGCTGTGGAGCAACGATTTTACATGTGGGCTTCTGTTTAGTTTGTTAACAGCTCTGTCTCTTTCACTTGAATGCAATGATCTATTTGTGATAGAAACAGTTTGTTCAGAGAAACTCAGTTGGCAGGATTCTGAAACTCAGATTTCTTTCCTCGGGCAGTGAGATTGCTGAGATTCCCCATAGTTACTTATTCCTTCATTTATGCATTTTTCTTATATTGCATAAAATTCTTACATCTTTTTTTTTTTTTCATACACAAGCTTGTAGTGCTCAATTACAAAAAAAAGAAAGAAAGAAAGAAACTTTATTATGTTCTCACATTGAGCACTGACTGCTGTGAATTATGCCCAGCGCCCAAAACTCTTTTCATACAACCGTTTATCGTAAGTTGTACACTCAAAGCTTGGGGGACAGGGGATGGTACCTATTTGTCTGCGATGGACGACACTTGGACGTGACGGCGAGATGCTGGGCTCAGGTGCGGGAGGAGAGACAGGTGCGTCATCGCTGTCCGGCAAATTCTCCAGATGGGGCTTATAAATGTCATCGTCTGAGATCCAAGAATAAGAATGCTGCAAAAAGCAGGAGAGGATGTTTTATTTAGCATTGGGAACTAAAGGGTTTCATTTGCATGTTAATGGTAAGTAGCAGAGTGCAGTTTGCAAAAAAAGGGTTCCCCTTTCATCATGTGTCATTGGTGTTAGTGGTGTAGAAGCTATAAACAGTGGTCTCTAAACGGTCACGTGAATTTAAGCACAAATGTGTCCGTCTTGACTAATGTTAAGAGATTTTCCTATATTTATGTAAAACACTAAGAAATATCTTTAGTTTTTCCCATTCAGAGATCACAATTAAGAGTTGTTTTCACTCTAGGCATTTGCTGGTATAGTATGGCTACTTTCTGTACTCCATTTTATTAACATTTCGCCACAGGACTGGTTTCATATCACTACTAATTTGCCTTCCGGCAGTATTCTCACAGTCTATTAACACTGAATACTAGAACAGCAGGTTGGTGTGTTTTTGCTGTGCCCATGTGGGTTTCTGCTGCGTGCTTAAGCTACTTCCCACAGATCAGAGAGGTGTTTTTCAGGTAAAATGTCGCTGTGGATGAGAGTACTATAGTAAGACTCAGTACTCAGTCAATAAAAGTTAGCCCTAATTAGACAAGGAGTTAGATGATGGATGGACGATGGATGGATGGACAGACTAAGTTTGTAAAACTAATGCGACTACTCACCATTTTTGTGAGGGGTTTTAAAATGGAAAACAATAAACACAAAATAACATTTTTCCATTATTTATTACAGAGATTGTGTTGTTTTTTTCTCCATGCATTATTCAAGATTCAAGAATAAGAGTTGAACATCCTACTTGACATTTCATGCAACAAATATCAAATAGTTTTTTTGCATTCTACGTAATCAGCAACCACAGTGTTTATGAACTGATATGAGTGCATTTGACAAATTTGCATTAAGGCCAGATAAAGTTTGTGGTTTTGCTCAAATAACGGTTACCCTCTAGAGAGATGTTACACTTACTGATAGTGAATCTGAAGATGGCTTTCTGCTCAAGATGCTTGTAGAGCGACGTGGGCACTGATGAACTGCAGAGTCTGCGTTGGTTTTTTCAGAGCTTTCTGTTGGCTTCTCTTCCTGGACAGGCTCAACAGTGACACTTACTTCCTCCACAGGTTCTGCAGGTTCACTGACTGCTGAGACAAGACATATGTCCGAGTGCAATTCTGAAGAGGCACTTTTGCAGACTTCAGCGGGACACTTATCATCATCAGATGACTGCAGCTCAGTGGTTGTTTCTGGTTGCTCTAAATCAAGCTGTCCAAAGTTTGGAGGCTGGTACTCAGAAGCCTGGGGCTCACTGTCACTGATAATACCCTTCTCAGAGAACTGAGAAGGACCCATGCTGGAGACAAATGAGTCTTCCTGTGTCGAGTCCTGACTGCAGTGTCCGCTCTCCCGGAAATCAGTCAGCGAGCTGCAGAGATACAGACAACTCAAAACATGTATTCTACTTCAAGTTAAATAAAAGAAAAGCTTTTGTTGACGAAAGACCAAAAAAAACAAAAAACAAAAAAACCTCTGCATCCAAGCTGCTAATTTTATATACTGGTTATTGGCTGCTTTTCAGTCCCGTGCCAGAGCCCATATTGGGGTGGATGTTTTATTGGAGGCTATTTCCTGCCAATGATTAACACATATCTGATGCTCTATTGATTATTAGAACAACAGGATGGTGTATGAGGGACTGACTAAAAATATACTACAAGATGGGGCTCATTCAGGTGCTAAGAACAGTTATTTAACTCCTATTTGCTCCAGAATGATTAAAAACTGTTTAAAATGTATACATACTCTTTCTGTGGCCTCTTGGTGCAGATGTTGGGATTAATGGCTGCTTCCAAGTCACATGAAGACCAATGCTCTCCTGTCGGGCTGCGGGGGTCCTGTCCCTGCAGAAGGCTGTCAGAGCTCAAGCTGGAGGACAGCTGAGAGGAGCCTGTGGTATCCAGGCTTAAATTAGAAGAACGAAGAGCAGTCTGACTCCCTTGTAAAAGATCTGATCCCCTCCCCACTAAAACTGGGCAGCCTCTCTGTACATCCAGTGCGTCCGAAGAACCCGATGACTGAGACACTGTATCCCAAATTTCCTTCCATATCGGTTTGGAGGTGGGAGGGTCTCCACCATTGAGGGGCAGGTCGAGTAAGTCTGCCTGGGACAAAGGGCAGAGTCCGGCAAGAGCCAGAGGCGTGGTGGTCCACTCATTGAGGACAGATGACTTGTAAGACAGGCTGAATGTGAGGGAGGCCAGACCCTGGAGGTAGCTGAGCAGAACCTCTCGCTCCTCCGGGTTCAGGAGCAAGGCACTGGGCTGATAATGGGCCTGCAGCTTGGAGTCTTCACGGAACAGCGATACGAGGTAGCACTCCAGGAGGCCGTGGTTGAGGGCCAGCCGTAGCCACGCTCGGCAGCGACCCACATCAGTGCCCACAAAGCTTATCTTCTCCAGCTCTGTGATCACATCACTAGGTAAAAAAAAAAAGAAAAAAAAAAAAAAGAGTGTGATAAACATATTGCATTTTCACAGAATAATACCTTAAATCAGTCATACTTAAACTTAAGAACAGCATCACTCAATATGAACTCTGAAAATCTTCAGGGACACTTCAATTCAATTCGATTAAATGTCTTTATTGTCCCACAAGGGGAAATTAGTTTAGCAGCAGGATATAAATAAACAGAACAATACTATAAAATAATAATGAAAATAATAGTGATAGAAAGTCCAAGGACAGTTATTTGCCATTGAGGAGACAAGATGCAGTGGGGATAAAAGAGACCTGGAGTCTTTTAGTCTTCCTCACAGGTACTCTAAAACGGCAGCCCTAACCCTTTACTAAAAACTCTGATTTAAACACAAGACTCGGATTAATGACCTCCTGACGTTTCTGTTCTTCATTTCATTTGATCAATCATCTCTCTTATTCTGTGTAATTCTCTATTAACAGTCTTTTTTTTTGCCATCTGATAATGATCAGTCAATTTTTAAAATCTTTTGTCTTGTACTTGTTTTGTAAATGGAAATATTAAAGCTTGAAAATGTTACTCAGGGAACTCAGAACATTTTAACTTCAAGCTTAACAATTGTAAATTTTTCACTGACCACACAGACAACCTGCATACCTTCAATACCCAAAAGGAAGCTGAGGGCCACACTTTGGGAATCACTGATTTGAATTTCTCAATAACATTGTTATTGAGAAGATTGAACATTGTATGTTCACTTTTCTTCTTTGCAGCCACCACATGCTGCTTTAGAGACACACACACATACACATGAACACACACCAAAACCCCCTCATCCAGGAGACACAATACTGTCAGAATTCTTTTTGCCTCCTGAAAGATAGTCTTAGCCCAAAAATTAGTTGTCATCAGATTGCTCGATTAATCAGTGGAATAATTGTTAGAATACTTGATTATTCAAGTTGCCTCAAGGCACTTTGCATAAGGTAAAGACACTACAATAAAATGAACCTGAAGTCTAAGATAAAATCTCCAAATGTATTTTTTCCAAAGGGAAAAAGTCCAAAACCCCCCAAATTTAGGAATAATTGTGCCTTGGTTCTGACTTACCGGTGGGTGACACTCTTGAGGAGGCTCCAGAAAAAAGGCTGAGGGAGGGGTCCACGGTCCCCTTTCCTACTGCTGCTTCGAGACTCTGAGCGGATGTACTTGCTCTTGATACCGTGGATGAAGATGGCCTCCAGGGCACAGCAGAGGAGGTTAGCATCGGAATCATCACTGGTGACTACCGAGTCTGACGCTACATATCGTTTCTGCAGGGCCTTGAGCGACTGCGCCAACTTCTCTTTGATCTAAGAAACAATACGTGGAAGAGGAAAAGGATTTTAATAAAACACATGATAGGTTCAAGCTACAAACCTATTCGCTGGAACGTTGAAGGCAATATAATTACACAGCAAGCAAGACACGAAGTAGGCAAAGTTCTTCATGTTTCTCGTGCACGGGAGAGAACCGGACAAACGCCGTTCCTTCGCTTGACCCCAGTTGCTCTTGTCCGTTCTCCCGTAACACTGCTCTTTTATTGAGGTTACATGAATATGCATAGGTTCATTAACATATGACGTCTACATACACACAAAGAGTACCTTGCCTTTGTGTGTGTGTGTGTATGTGATTTGTGTGAGGTCAAGATGTGACCCTGTGAAGACTCCCCAAAAGCTGGTGCCAGGAGTCTAGCGGGTCCATCTGAACAAAAGGCTCTTATACTTAAAGAGATATAAGTGTGTTTGCTATATCAACAAAGAGAAGACAGGACCTCTCTTATGCTCCTAGAGTAGAATGCACACCAAGCCTTTGCAGCCTGCTAAAGATCACAGTCCTATCACTACACAATTGATTATACACCTCTAAGCATATATGGTTAAATATTTCTAAGCATAAATAACAATCAACAATACAAAACCTAACAACACATTCCTCAACTTGTTCTGATGGGAAGCAGCTGTCAAACAAGAAGAAAAATTCCTGTTCAACCACATACATAGAAAACATCTTCAAGCATTAACTGGCACTTTTTTCTGCATTTCATTCCACAGTGTGATGACAAACAAGCAGTTTGAGATCAGCTGTGATGTTATGACACTCAACCTGTATATAACCTCCTGTCACATGTCACCCACTGTCAGCTGATGGGGAAAAAATAACAAACACATTACAAACAGACCTACATTATGTAAAAGGTTAGAGGACAAAGGCAGCTTCTTTCGCAACACACAAGAAACTTAGTGCTCTTGAGCACTGAAGAACTCTTCCTTTGCAGTGCTTGACTTGTTAAAAGAAAAACATCTACAGGTCCAGTTCCAAGCACCTGGACATATACGGTACATTAATGCAGCGGGGTTATTTTCTGCAAAACTAGAATTACAGGGTTTTTCCACGGTCCACGATGGGCCAGACAAGCACAGTTTGTCCAACTATACTCAAAGCAATGACTCTGTTTCACCTTACCTAATGATCTGAGGTCTCAAAGCCTTGTTAACAAAACATAAAAATTATTTATGTTTTTTTAACTCATTTTTTTCCTTTCATTGAAACATCTGAAAAACACATTTGAGAAAAAAAAAAGCCATAACCCTGGGGTTTTCCTGGCGTCTGGAGGATGACTACGCACGACTGGTCCATAGTGACGGAAAATAAGATTTGGCATCTAAGCTAACAGAAGTTTCTCCCTGTTATTTTTAGCTATTTTATAAACAAATTTTAAAAAAAAAAAAGGTATTTTAAACTTGGGTAAAATAAGCCTCACTTTAAAAAAGAAAATACTGGTTACAAATATTTGTAATCATAGTTCTGGTTACTTTTCTTTGGTGAAAGGTCAAAAACCTCTTTAGTGGGTAGCTCCACCTATGACTCAGGCTTCCTACTGTTAAAGGATAATTTACGTCTTCATTTTTATGATCCTAGGAAAGCCTAGTTGGAACACTTCTCCATCTTCTTTAATTGAACCCTCTGGACATTGTGGAGGAATATAAATACCTTGGAGTACACAAAGACAATAAACTGAACTGGGTTAAGAACACCACTGCACTCTACAGTAAGGGCCAGAGTTGTCTCTATTTTCTGAGGCGGCTGAGGTCTTTCAACATCTGTCGGACAATGCTCAGGATTTTCTGTTAGTCTGTTGTGGTCAGTGCTATCCTCTATGCTGTTGCATGCTGGGGCAGCAGGTTGAGGGTTGCAGATGCCAACAGACTCAAACTGATCCGCAAGTTCCTGTTGCAGGAAGGGTCGTGTCTAGGGATGGGTATCGTTTAGGTTTTATCCGATACCAGTGCCAAACCGGTACTTTTGAAACGGTGCCGGTGCTCAAACTGGTGCTTAAAGAATGGAGAACACAAAATTGGTCCAAAAACCTCTCATGTTTAGCTGTTTTTTTGTAAAAAGATAACAATGTTAGCTTTTCTGCAGCTATGGGGCATATATGGTATCACTCTTGGCTGGAAGCAGTGCTTAAACAACCGCAGTAGATGCGCTTGGTGTGAGGTCTCGCAGCAAGCTATCAAATATGGCGCATTTTTCGGCTTTTAAAAAAATTTGAGGTGTTACTTCCTTTGACAGTATCACAGTATCAGCTTAAAGCACTTGTTGCAGGCTGCTGAGTTTGCATATTTTGCTGTGAAGTACAGCCAGACTTTTGACCGCTTCGCCTTGGGCATTTTTAATCTGTAGTTCTGCTCTAAAAGAACGTACGTACCTGGACCCGCCTACTATCCTCGGAAACGTAAAATGATTGAATTCAAAGTGTATCACATCTCAGGAAAAACAAGCACCGAAATGTGCGCTGCTTTTCGGTCTGGTCGTTTATGTCAGAACCGGTGCCATGATACCGGTACCCATCCCTAGTCGTGTCTGAGAGGTGGATGGTGTCCAAGATAAGGACAATGCTGAATAATACCACTCCATTACATGCAGGCTAGTCACAGGAGCACGTTCAATGAGAGACCGAGATTACCAAAAATCACACTGCACCACACAGGAAATCATTCCTGTCTGTGGCCATCTCCCTGTACAACTCCGCCATCTAATATACTGTAAACACTGCAATAGTTACACCCTTTAACACACTCTCTACAGTAAAATAACAAATGACAAAGTTCACAGGTTAGAGTTAAATGTCAATCATATATATTTACCTCTGTAATATTCTTGATATTTATAATTGAGCAATTTGTATATGTTAGCACTGTTTCTTAAATTTGTAACCTTTGTAGCATATTGCATTATTTATTTAGTTTGGTCTGTTACTGTCTTGGAGCAACTTTAACACACATAATTTACTTAGGGATTATAAAGGTATTCTGGTTCTGAAGTCTACCATTCAGGCTAGAGTTAGACTCTCAAAGAGTAGCCCACAGACTGGTGGCAGCCCTTGGCAGTTAAGAACACAGTTTAAGTTATACAATCATATACAGTGCACAACAAATCTCTGCAAGCCATCATAACAGATTGAATATGAATGATGTTGAGGAGTTTAATTGTTGTTAGTGGTTAAAAAAAAAACCCAAACACATTTGAAGCAATAACATGTTTAACATAACAGCGTTGATGGTGAGAGGTGACCGTCTCACTTGTTGTCATTATTTAGATTCAAGAAACACGGGGTGATTCATTAAAATCTCAGAGTTATAATCAATTCTCAAAAATAGTCACACTGAAAATAAACTAATGCCGCATGTATCAAGTATAAGAAAGCCAATGTGTGAGTTAAAATATTAAAAGTAAACAGCAAATATTAGCCAGATCTATTCTTTGTTAAGTAATTCAGCTTTGTACTTCAGTGGTTTTATATTACAGTTCACCATAGACACACAAGCACAAAAAGTACTAAGAGCAAGTTCCTGATTCCTGACACGATCACCCAGGACTGATGCGTCAGTTATGTCTATGAAAAAATCTTGAAATACTTCTGAAATATGTGAAACTATTTCACATTAATTGTTCAATATTTGACTCTTGGGTTAATTTATCAAAGTAAGTAAGACCCTCTGAGACAAAACATGTCCACCACTGATCCAAAAGAATAGAACTTGTTACAAGTTTCTTAGGTTAACCTTCATTCAGTCTTTCAATGCAGGTCCCCTGAAGTGTGCACAACAGCAGCAGAGCAGTCCATTTGGGCCTTTTTTCCCTTCCTGTCTGTACCAGAAGACCTCCTGTAGCCCTGGGTGGGACTACACCTATGCAAGACCAGCTTCACCATTAAACATAATGAAAATCCTCTGTTGATGAGCTTAGTACCGGGATTATGATGCATTTCCTCTGCTGCATCCACTATTAGTGGCGTATTGAAAACAGGCTGTGCTGTTGTCGTTTTGTTTTTGTTTTTCTTTTGGAGCACCCCATGTCCCCCGCAACCTAAACATCAAGGGGGTACTTTGCATTACAATACTACTTAAATCTCACAAGCCAACTCTCACGCTGTCTCACCAGCAGAGGAAGGAGCCAGACAGAAGTGAAATCCGCAACGTGAAACGAGCTGATTCTTACCTTTTTAACATCCTTAGTCTCGTGGTGAGCTTCAGTCTGCGTGGCGAGCATGGCACCTCCTGGAATAAGTTACTCCAACATGGCACACTGAAACACACACAAAAAGACCTGCCCTTTTTGCACTTGCAGGCTTGACTAACAGCGACCAAACGAGTCATGCGAGTTTGTATCCTGAATATGGCCACGCCTTCGAGCCAGACATGTGACGAGAAGGAAACGAGTTTCCCTCCTCACATCGAGTTTCCAGAATTTCCTATCACGAGGCTGTGCTCTGTGACATTATTTGCCATTTCATGCTTTCTGTGAGTAGCCCTCCAAGTCACGTGAAGCACAGATTAAAGAAGACGTCTGCAGGGAAGTAGCTTCTTACTTCCCCAATAAAAACTGAGAGGCACTCTGAGAACTAATTAGCATGTAATCCAACCACCCTGACATCATCACATCCAAATAAGATTGCGTTAAATACATCAAGTGCTGGGCTATCAGCAAACAAAGTACTGTTTACCAAACAGTGGCTGGTTAATAGTTTCGTTTTAAACACCCAAAGCGACATTTAGAAGCATTTGTTTTCTCTGCAGACGCTTTGCAGTGACGAGCACTGGGCGTATGTGCATTAATGACAGAAATGCACGACCGAAACACTGTAAATTAAACAAATAAAATAAAAAAGCTGTGTAAATAACGAAATGTCTATCAGCTATGTAATAATATTAAACCCAGACGTTGTCGGCGGCTTTTACTAGCTAAGTTTTGCTTACCGAAACAAACAGCCTGGCTAACAGGTCGAAAAACAAGCGCGTGTCCTCCTTAAACTAACGTAAACACGGGAGCTGCACGTTAGAGGCACAAAAATCCGTGCAGTCACTCTCCATCGCTTCCAAAACACCTAAAAATAGAGCAGAAGTCAGCTCGACTTTAGACGCTCGACTGTCACCATCCAACTGAAAACGAAGTGCATCATGGGAACTCAGACTAGTGATGCGTTCAGGTTCCATCACAAATGCTGTGAAACTGAGCTTGTTCTCATGGATTCTCTTCTTGTCGATCTTTTTCTTCTTCGTGAGCTTCTTTATGATTTTCTTGATCTTCTTCTCATTCTCATCCTCTTCAAGGACACAGTGGATCATCTATCTCACCCTATCTTAAGCATCCTCTTCTGACACACCAACCCTCTGCATGTTCTTCTTCGCTACACCCAAGAACGTCCTCCGTGGTCTTCCCTTTTTCCACGGAGCTCCATCTTAAACATCCTCTGCCCAGTATATGCAGTATCTCTTGTCCAAACCATCTCAGCCTTACCTCTCTAACTTTATCTCTAATGTACTTGATCTGAGCTTTGTCTCTGACATGCTCATTTCCAGTCTGATTATTTGCACAGAAAACCTTAACATCTCCAGCTCAATTTCCTGTCTTTTTGTCGATGTCACCACCTCCAAACCATAAATCATAGCAGGTCTCTTTCCTGTCTTGTAAACCTTCCCTCATGGCTCGTACCTCTAGGTCCTTTTCCACCTGCTACCTACTCTCACTGCAGATCGCAAGGTCATCTACGAGCATCACAGCCAATGGAAACTCTTGCCTGAACTTATTCCTCAGTCTACATGACAAAAACAAAACAAACAAACAAAAAACATAATTTATTGACATTATTTGTGTCACTTGCATGCCTACCCTGCCACTGACATTAAAATTATTCTTCATGAATTGTAAAAGTGACCTCCTATGTTATTTAATCTGACTTAGAAGTGACAAATCATAGCTATTAGCTTTATGACTTTTACATTAAAACAAAAAACAAAAGACAAAAATGGCTATTTTGCCCTTCTGGATGATAAAATGGTTTATCACCCAGAAGATAAACCATTCTATCATGGTATTTGTAAAGGGTTAAACCCAAATAGCTTAATAACATGAAAATAACAAAAATACACGAAAGTAAAAAGCTCAATTAAATAGAAAAAAGTAAATAGAATAAAATTGTTTTATCTGTTATGTATGCTTTTAGCTTATTTATATAAGGATTTAATGTGGCAGGAGTTACATAGAGCGTGTTTGCATTTCACCATCTAAACGAGCTCCAACTCAAGTTGATTTCCAATCCTCTGGCGGGATTTCATTTTTACTGTCGACATATTTTTTGTGTCTTATGGTTTCCGGGTTATTTTTTTTATTTAAGACAACACATTAAAAATGAACAAAATCAACATGCAGAAAGTAGGTTAACTACTAACCTTAACTAAAGGTAAACAGAAGCAGTAATAAAAACAAAACAAACAAAAAAACAAACCCAAAGTAGAAGCTGTAGTTTACGAGTAACACTTAAAGACGACATAGTGGTTCCATTGTTGTTGACACCACAGACTTTCTGTTCTCCGTTCTCAGCTCCTGCTCTGCTAAAGACTTTTCATAACACACTCTGCAACTTATAAACTACTCCACCGCATAGCCTCACCACCGAAACAATATATTTCCAGTATAGTTGGCTTTTTATTGGTTTCAGAAACTCAAAAAACATAAACTTCAATCACTCTATACTCCGTTCTTATCCTCTGTAATCGTAGCATACTTGAAAATGAAAACAAACGTGCGTACGGAAGTTTCGTACTTTCATTTTCCTTTGTGTCTACAGTCAAGACACAGCACTGATGTGTGTGTGTCTACAGACACAACGCTGATGTGTGTGTCCAAACTGGATTTTAACTGGCTGTTTGATCTTTTTTTTTTTTTTTTTTTTTTTTTTTAAATTACCTACCTTAATGTCTTGCAAACTGCCAAAAAGGTAAAGACTCCCTGAAAAACATTGCTGTAAATCTCCGCTCTTCAATTTTCCAAGATTAAAATCAAGAAGTAAAAACAGATTTTGGATAAATAAACTTTTTCTTGACGGTAATTAAATTGCATTTAAATTAACTGAACTAATTAAACGACTATGACGATGACATAAATCTGCCATGTTTTTACTTTTGAGACGTGTGCCTGTGAGGATTTTCCAGCTGATTAGAAAGTGAAATAGGTGTGTCCTTGGGCTTTGCTATAAATGAAGCGCCTGAGGTTTGCTCCATCAGAACACCAGGAGACCTAAGAATTTGCTTCACACTAAGGAAATTTCTACATTTTTCAAAAATGATCAGCAGGATTTTCTTCGCTTGCCTGTTTCTCGGGATGTACAGTACGGGCTCTTTGTTAGGTTGCAAATGGATTGTAAATGATCGAGGCGACATAATGGGTCAATTCCGTGTGTACAACAAGCGAGCTTTGGGTTTCCTTGATATGATGGTGAGTGCACTTCTTTGCATAATGTTTAACATGGTATTGATTTAAATAGTTTGATTAGTTCCATGGATATGATGTGTGTGCGTGTTTTGTGTGTGATGCAGATTACTAAGGATGCTGAAATTGAGCACACAGTGGCTTTCCCTAATCGACTGTATCGCAAGACGTCCAAAGCAACAGTAAGTCACCCCCAACTTTTTACATAAAGTTGTTTCTTTTTTTAATGGAAGAATGGAAAGTGTCAGGATGGCAAATCTACAAAAGTTTGTCTTTACCTATATATAGACTGTTCGGCTATTAAAGGGTCGTAAGGATTCTTTCCCACAGAGCCAAGGGAGTTGTCTCTTATCACGACTCTGTCATAACTGTGCATAATTCAAGGACGAAATACAAAGAACTCATTTTCAACCATTTATTCCTGTGCAATAAATTTTCATTGCTGTGTGAATTCTTGTTCTTTGACTTTCTAAGCCGTCCATCTTCAAGTGTCACAGAAGTATTCCTATAGTAATTATTTCTTCTTCTTCTTCTTCTTTGTCAATGGAAAATTGTACTTAGTAGTCAGTATAATCTTTTAATGATATAAGTTTGCATATGGTAGAATGCTGCATGTAATTATTTGTGTGTAGAAGTATATAGTTGGTGGCATATTGAAAGAATGTCTCATCCTAGGAGGTCTGTAACATTCTAGGGTGTTCACCCCCACATTCTAGGAGCATGAGAGAGGTCGTACCTTGTCTTATTGTTTTACGGTAGGATTAACGTAGCTATGTCAGTTTTAGTTTAAGTGCTTCTTTACATATAGATGAACTGTTGGATTTTCCAGACCAGCAGGTTAAGGGAAGTTGTTTATGGGGCCACACTCTGACCACACACACACGCGCGCGCGCGCGCGCACACACACCTCCACATTGCAATGTAAGGAACAAACGCTCACTGAAGTATAAATAAAGACCGGGGCAGTTTCTCAGCGCGAGTCTCAGTTTCTGGAGACTGCCCTTGTTAGCAAGAAGTTCTGTGTGTTTCTCTTCTCTGAGTCTTTAATGAAGAAGTGTTTTAGAATATATTTCTTAACATTCTTCTTCTTCTTCTTCTTTTTCTTCTTCTTCTTCTTCTTCTTCTTCTTCTTCTTCTTCTTCTTCATCTTCTTCTTCTTCTTCTTCCAGGCTGAGGATAAACTGGCTTTTACAGTTCAGATTCTGGAGGAGGTGGCTGCCCTGTTTGAGGAGGATCACAGCTCTGCCTCATGGGAGGAGAACACAGTGGAGAACTTTCTCAATATTGTCAACAAACAGGCTGAAGAACTTCGCTCCTGTGTAAGCTCACTTTCATTTGTTTTTGTAATTTTACAATGAATTCAGTCTCTCTTGTGTAAAAGACCTGACAACTGTGAATAAGTTAAAGTGGTGAATGATTTATTTAAATATATTTTGTTTTATTTCTCTTGATTTATTTAGGTTGGAAGCCACAGTTACACGAGACAGAAGGTGCAACGGCGGCGGCGGCGGTATTTCAAGAGACTCTTAAATAAAATCCTAAAGAAAAATGTAAGCCTGCATTATTTTTTTTTACTGAGCCTGTATTTAGTATTTAGCTATGACAAATTTTACACCGCTGGTATTTTAATAATGATAATATTGTTTTGTCTGTAGGGTTACAGTGCTGAAGCCTGGGAGACGATCAGGAACATAACAAAAGAACATCTGAGGCGATGCGGATCTCTGGTTGAGTCTCTGGGAAATGCCCACTAAAACTCGTCTTTCGGATAAATTTTTAAAATGTATTTGTATTTCTTAATTGGTTTAATTTATTTATTGTATTCATAATATTGACACTAGTATTTATTTTTGTATTATTTATTCATTTATTTATTAGATTTCTGAAAATTTTCCATAATGTAAACTAGACATATTATTTGATATGTTAAAGTCAATAAATATTTTCTTATCACACAAATAGAAATATGTTGATTTTTCTGTTCCTGAAATATCAAGAATAAGGGTTTTGCACTTATTTTTAATGAGTGCAATCAAACATTAGACACATTGTCCAGATTTATATAGAAAGATTGTTTTGATTCTTCACAAAAGCTCTTACAACATAGAAAGTAGAAGTACTGATACCTCATGTGGAGTGAGTATGAGCACCAAGACCACTTTAGAGACTTTCTTTGGTTTGGTTTCTTTTGGTTTATAAAGTATGACGAGTAAACTGAGAGCTTTGCCTTTACACTCAGCTCTCTCTTCACCCTGATGGACCAGTACAGCAGCCGCAGCACTGATCTGTCTGTCAATGTCCTTCCCCCTTCTCCCATCACTCGTGAACAGGACCCCAAGATACTTAAACTCCTCCACTCGGGGCAGGAACTCATCCCTGATCACGAGTGGACAGTCCACCCTTTTCTGGCTGAGCACCATGGCCTTAGATTTGGAGGTGCTATTCTCATTCACTTCATTACATTTGGCTGTGCAGCATTCCAGTGCGAGCTGGAGGTCATCAGCCGATGAAGGCAATAGAACAACATCATATACGAAATGCAGAGCTGAGATTCAGAGAACACCTAAGTAAAAGCTTTCTGCCACAGATACAAGAGGACTTGTTTTGCAGCCATAAGACGTGAACAACTTGTAGTCCCTGAGGAGACCATGAACTCCTCTCTATGTCAAAATATTCCAAATGTGAGGCCATCAGTTAAAATTTGGCCCAAACTGGATCAATGTAAAACAGAAAGGCTGGAAAAACATTATCCACGTTTTTGTTTATTTCATCATGAAATAACTGTCTTAATCGTGTCAATTTATTGATTAAGTGACAGAAGAGTTACATCTTATATTATGGGCTTTCCTTTTAACCCATTAAAGAACACTTTCAAACCACTTTCGTGAACTTCCAAGCACTGTGGAGTTTTGTTTTTCATTTTTTAGTTTAATTGCAATCGAAATCTGGTTAAAGGAACTTACAAGTTCACCATTTTGATATTAAAAAGTAATATAAACAATAAATTCACTTTGTAAGAAGATAGATTCTTTTATTTAGTAAAATATATTTTACAAAATGTTCATTTTGCTCATTATAAAGATAAAAAATATTCCTAAATCTTCATCAGCATAGAAAAACAATCAAAACAAAAATATACAAATAACAAAGTAAATAAATAAACAAATTAAATAAATAGACAAGCAATTAAATTAACACAGCCGTCATTACAGACATGACAAGAGACAGGTTTTAGTGGGCCGTGTGCAGAGATGAAGCCAGCTGTTCTGCTCTCATTAGATGGGCTTTGGTTTCTTTCCTGATCACCTCCCAGGCTTCAGCACTGTGACCCTACAGAAATACCAATATTAGTATTCTTATTGTTATTGAAACAAGTTATTATATCTATTTATCTTAAGGATGATCTAAACCCCAAATTAATGAGAATGATGTGATCTTACCATTTCCTTTAGGATATGATGTGAGAGTCTCTTAAAGTACATGTGCAGCTTTGTGGTTTTCTTCTTGTGACTGTGGCTCCCAATCTAATTTAATTACAAGCAAAATGACAATTAAGAATATGTCATGTCATGTAAAGTATCATATTCGAATGTAATAAAAACCTAACTGAAAGTGAGCTTACACAGGAGTGAAGCTCTTCAGCCTGTTTGTTGACAATATTGAGCAAGTTCCTCACTGTGCTGTCCTCCCATGATGCAGAGCTGTGATCCTCCTCAAACAGGGCAGCCACCTCCTCCAGAATCTGAACTGTGAAAGCCAGTTTATCCTCAGCCTGGAAGAAGAAGAAGATCAAACACAGACCACTTTAGAAATGCTTCAATAATAATAAGAGTGGATTTAAAAGACAAAATTAATCTGTCCTAAGGGAAAATTATGTTTTTTTCTATAAATAGGCAAAAGCTGAGGTTCACTTACTGATGATTTGGACACCTGGTGGTACAGGTGATTAGGGAAGGCCACAGTGACCTCTACTTCAGTGGCGTTAGTGGCGTTTTTAGCCTGCAACACATTGAATGTTTTAGTCATCAGATGCTCAAGTGAAATAATTCTAAAACTATTTAAATAACGAATCAACTAATATTAAAACATTAAAACACTCACCATGGTATCAAGCAGATTCAGAGTTTCTTCGTTGTGCTGTCTGAATTTATGATCCATCCATCTGCAGCTTAGCGAGGAGCTTTCAGTGGACAGAGCGAGAAACAGGCAAGCAAAGAGAATCCTGTTCATCATTTTTTTAAAGGTATAAACTTCCTTTGTATGAAGCAAACTCGGATGTCTCCCGGTGTTCTGATGGAGCAGACCTGCAGCGCCGCATTTATAGCAGAGCGAAAATATTTCATTTTCTATATACCTGGGAAACCCGCAGGTACAACAAGCTGTAATGTCGTACACGTGGGATTTAAATTTCCGTCTATAAAAAAAAAATCCCACACTTAACAATATATCTTAAAGAAGATAAGATATCATGATGTATGAGGGTTTGACCTCATTATGAGGATTCGTGGACATACACATCCATTTGAACACCTAAGAAACATGACGACAAACTCAACTCACGACTGATGATTTCATTTGTAACCAAATCGTGTAGGCTTACGTTTTGATACTAAACAGGTAACGTGTTACAGGGATATTAATGCTGCTTTGAGGACATTTTCATCTATTATTGTCAAGAAACGGGCATGTGGCAGGCAGACGGTGGACCCACATGCATGAACAGGTGATGAAACAAAAACTGATCAGATCACAGGTCAGATATATGTTAACAATAACGTCATTGCAAGTACTACATGTGCTGGATTGCTTTTCTTGTTTGTTTGTTTTGTTTTGCTGAGGGGGGCTTTTTTCAGTTATTATTATTTCAGACTCATTCAGAATCGGAGCAGATAAATACCCCTGTTTTGCCCTCCACTACCGGTTACATGAGGTTAACACAAATACATCACAACTGATTTACAAGTACAGCAGAAGTGCAAGCTGTTTAATAATGAAGAAACTGCTAAAAAAAGCTAAATGCAGGCCACGTGAAATGACGCAATGATGCAATGAACCAAGGTAAATACACCTACTCATTCATACCTGCGCCCATTCTTCACTCACGTGACAGCCGCTTTCGTTTTCCTCGGTAAAGAGAAAAAAAATACCCAAAGTGGAAGCTGTAGTTTACGAGTATCACCTATAGGCGGCGTAGAGTTTCTATTTGGAACAAGTGTCACCTGGCAGTTTGCTGCTTTCTGCCGTGTGATTGGCAGAGGAACTTTGAAAGTTAATAGGTGTGTGAGGTGAGGTCAGCGCTCCTCGGTGAGGAAGTTCCAGAGACAATTAACTCACTCTGGTGCGAGTGGGTATGTTGTTCGTGTGACGTTTTAATGGTGTTCAAGCTGTAGATCGACAGCGCGCGATCAATATTCTGTTGTTGTGATGCCTCTGCAGTTAATGTTTCTTTTTGGTTGATTTGTAATTTCCTTTGGTTAGTCCGTCCAGCCGTAAAGACTGTTATGAATGAAGAGCGGACTAACCTCTCTCGTTTTTATCTTTTCGTTTATTAATTTGTGCCACTTCCCTTTTATAAATCCAGACTGCAGGTTACGCATACCGCTGATTCCCAGCTGTGCTGAGACCAGAACTGTTTGCAGTGCGTGCCCAGTGGTAAATTGATTGCAGTGTCTCTAAACTGGGTTTAGTGTAGTGCAGTGTAGTGTTATTTGCTCGCACCTTTGGTTTGATAGGTCTCATGTGCAGCTGGAATATTAGTAAAATATGTTTTGAGTCCTGTTTGGGAATGAATGGGAAATGTATGTTTAATTGATGGGATAAATAAATTATACATTTATCTCTTTGACATTTTATTTGACACCTTAGTGCTCTGTTATATATTGTTGTAGACGCCACAGACTTTCTGTTCTCCGTTAACAGCTCCTGCCCTGCTAAAGACTTTTCATAACACACTCTGCAACTTATATGACCTGTATATTTGACTTTTTATATATTTCACAACCTGAAAAAACATAAACTTAAATCACTCTATACTCTTTTCTTCTCTCCTGTAATCAACCCTACTTGAAAATGAAAACAAACGTGCGTAAGGAGCGTCACTGACGTTTGGCGCACATCCATTTTCATTTTATTTCATCATAAGTAACGAAATGTGTTCGACGTTGACTGTTTTCATTTTTTAACATTTTTTTTAAAATTGCCATTAATGTCTTGCAACCAGTGGCGGTACTAGCCTGAGTGGTCTGTGTTTGATCTTCTTCTTCTTCCAGGTTGAGGATAAACTGGCTTTCACAGTTCAGATTCTGGAGGAGGTGGCTGCCCTGTTTGAGGAGGATCACAGCTCTGCATCATGGGAGGACAGCACAGTGAGGAACTTGCTCAATATTGTCAACAAACAGGCTGAAGAGCTTCACTCCTGTGTAAGTTCACTTTCAGTTAGGTTTTTATTACATTCGAATATGATACTTTACATGACATGACATATTCTTAATTGTCATTTTGCTTGTAATTAAATTAGATTGGGAGCCACAGTCACAAGAAGAAAACCACAAAGCTGCACATGTACTTTAAGAGACTCTCACATCATATCCTAAAGGAAATGGTAAGATCACATCATTCTCATTAATTTGGGGTTTAGATCATCCTTAAGATAAATAGATATAATAACTTGTTTCAATAACAATAAGAATACTAATATTGGTATTTCTGTAGGGTCACAGTGCTGAAGCCTGGGAGGTGATCAGGAAAGAAACCAAAGCCCATCTAATGAGAGCAGAACAGCTGGCTTCATCTCTGCACACGGCCCACTAAAACCTGTCTCTTGTCATGTCTGTAATGACGGCTGTGTTAATTTAATTGCTTGTCTATTTATTTAATTTGTTTATTTATTTACTTTGTTATTTGTATATTTTTGTTTTGGTTGTTTTTCTATGCTGATGAAGATTTAGGAATATTTTTTATCTTTATAATGAGCAAAATGAACATTTTGTAAAATATATTTTACTAAATAAAAGAATCTATCTTCTTACAAAGTGAATTTATTGTTTATATTACTTTTTAATATCAAAATGGTGAACTTGTAAGTTCCTTTAACCAGATTTCGATTGCAATTAAACTAAAAAAAAAAACAAAACTCCACAGTGCTTGGAAGTTCACGAAAGTGGTTTGAAAGTGTTCTTTAATGGGTTAAAAGGAAAGCCCATAATATAAGATGTAACTCTTCTGTCACTTAATCAATAAATTGACACGATTAAGACAGTTATTTCATGATGAAATAAACAAAAACGTGGATAATGTTTTTCAGCCTTTCTGTTTTACATTGATCCAGTTTGGGCCAAATTTTAACTGATGGCCTCACATTTGGAATATTTTGACAGAGAGAGGAGTTCATGGTCTCCTCAGGGACTACAAGTTGTTCACGTCTTATGGCTGCAAAACAAGTCCTCTTGTATCTGTGCTAAAATACTTAATTTCAGATGTGGTGCTGTGAAGTTTACTTTTTGTTAAATAATTATAAATACTGTCGTCTAAGCTTCCACTTAAATTATTTTACAACCTGAAAATGACCAAATTATTTATCCATCCATCCATTCGCTTCCGCTTATCCTTTTTCAGGGTCGCGGGGGGCGCTGGAGCCTATCCCAGCTGTCATAGGGCGAGAGGCGGGGTACACCCTGGACAGGTCGCCAGTCTGTCGTATTTATTTATTCTTTTATTTATTTTTAATGCTCGAATATGGAAAAACTTAGAATTGAAGAAGTATGTACCATTTTTCAGTTCTTTTATGCATGATATAGGTATATTTGTATAGGCATTGTGCTCATGTACTGCATCAGTCTAACTTTTACTTTGTGTGGGGTGGCTGAGGCTCAGGTGGTAGAGCAGATCAGTTACTGATCGGAAGGTTGGTGGTTCGATCCTTGGCTTCCCCAGTCTGCATGCCTTGGGCAAGATACTAACCCTGAGTTGCATTCATCGGAGTATGAATGTGTGTGAATGTAGTTTAGGTTGCACTTGAAGTGCTTGTATGAGTGGGTGTGAATGAGGCATGTTGTATAGAGCGCTTTGAGTACTCCGGGAGAGTAGAAAAGTGCTATATAAGAATCAGTCCATTTACCAGATCAGGGGTGGTACCTCTGAGGTGGCAGTTAGTCGAACCTTGGACAATGCAGTTTACATCCTGATCGTGGAACACTGGACCAGCTCTTTATCCTCTTGAGGATACTTGAGGGTGCATGGGAGTTTGTCCAACCAGTCTACATGGGCTTTGTGGACCCGGAGAAGGCACTCGACCATGTCCCTCAGAGTGTCTTGTGGAAGGTACTTCAGGAGTATGGGCTGTTTGGCCCATTGCTATGGACCACTCAATTCTCATACAACCATTTCAGGAGCTTGGTCCGCATAGCCAGCAATGAGCAATAAGTCAGACTGGTTTCCGGTGGGTGATGGATTCCACCAGGGCCGCCCTTGTCACCGGTTCTGTTCATAATTTGTATTTAGAGAATTTCTAGGTGTAGCCAAGTGGCAGAAGGCTCAGATGTTCTCTGAATCTCAGCTCTGCATTTCGTATATGATGTTGTTCTATTGCCTTCATCGGCTGATGACCTCCAGCTCGCACTGGAATGCTGCACAGCCAAATGTAATGAAGTGAATGAGAATAGCACCTCCAAATCTAAGGCCATGGTGCTCAGCCAGAAAAGGGTGGACTGTCCACTCGTGATCAGGGATGAGTTTGTGCCCCGAGTGGAGGAGTTTAAGTATCTTGGGGTCCTGTTCACGAGTGATGGGAGAAGGGGGAAGGACATTGACAGACAGATCAGTGCTGCGGCTGCTGTACTGGTCCATCAGGGTGAAGAGAGAGCTGAGTGTAAAGGCAAAGCTCTCAGTTGACTCGTCATACTTTATAAACCAAAAGAAACCAAACCAAAGAAAGTCTCTAAAGTGGTCTTGGTGCTCATACTCACTCCACATGAGGTATCAGTACTTCTACTTTCTATGTTGTAAGAGCTTTTGTGAAGAATCAAAACAATCTTTCTATATAAATCTGGACAATGTTTCTAATGTTTGATTGCACTCATTAAAAATAAGTGCAAAACCCTTATTCTTGATATTTCAGGAACAGAAAAATCAACAATTTCAATTTGTGTGATAAGAAAATATTTATTGACTTTAACATATCAAATAATATGTCTAGTTTACTTATGGAAAATTTTCAGAAATCTAATAAATAAATGAATAAATAATACAAAAATAAATACTAGTGTCAATATTATGAATACAATAAATAAATTAAACCAATTAAGAAATACAAATACATTTTAAAAATTTATCCGAAAGACGAGTTTTAGTGGGCATTTCCCAGAGACTCAACCAGAGATCCGCATCGCCTCAGATGTTCTTTTGTTATGTTCCTGATCGTCTCCCAGGCTTCAGCACTGTAACCCTACAGACAAAACAATATTATCATTATTAAAATACCAGCGGTGTAAAATCTGTCATATTGAAATACAGGTTTAGTAAAAATAATGCAAACTTACATTGGCCTTTAGGGTTTCATTTGAGAGACTCGTGAAATGCGACAGCTGTGTCGTGTTGCTGTGGCTTCCAACCTAAATAACCCACAAGGAAAGAACAAAATATATTTGAATACATCATTCACCACTTTAACTTATTCACATTTGTCAGAGACTGATAAAATATATATAATAGAGACTGAATTCATTGTAAAATTTAAAAAAAAATGCAATATCATTGTTCATTGTAATGAAAGTGAGCTTACACAGGAGTTAAGCTCTTCAGCCATTTTGTCGACAATACTGAGAAAGTTCTCCACTGTGTTCTCCTCCCATGGTGCAGAGCTGCGATGCTCCTCAAACAGGGCAAACAGCTCCTTCAGAATCTGAACTATCAAAGCCAGTTTATCCTCATCCTAGAAGAAGAAGAAGAAGAAGATGATGAAGAAGAGATCACTAGGAATACTTCTTTAAAACTTCAAGATGGCTGAATAGTCAAAGAACAAGAATCCACACAGCTATGAGAAATTTCCCAGGGACCGAAAATCTTTGTTTGCACAGGAACAAATGTTTGAAAATAACATTGTTGTGTTTTGTCTTTGAATTATACATTTTTATGCACAGGAGTTATGACAGAGTCGTGATAAGAGACAACTCCCTTGGCTCTGTGGGAGAGAATCCCTTCGACCCTTTCATAGCTGAGCAGTCTATATATAGGTAAAGACAAACTTTTGTGGATTTGCAATCACGACACTTTCCATTCTTTCATTAAAAAAGAAACAACTTTATGTAAAAAGCTGGGGATGACTTACTGTTGCATTGGACTTCTGGTGATACAGTTCATTAGGGAAAGCCACTGTGTGCTCAATTTCAGCATCCTTAGTGGTGTTAGTAATCTGCATCACACACAAAACACGCACACACATCATATCCATGGAACTAATCAAACTATTTAAATCAATACCATGTTAAACATTATGCAAAGAAGTGCACTCACCATCATATCAAGTAGATCTAAAGCTTGTTTGTTGTGCAGACTGAATTGACTCATTTTGTCGCCTGGATCTTTTACAATCCATTTGCAACTTAACGAGGAGCCCGTACTGTACATCCCGAGAAACAGGCTAGCGAAGAAAATCCTGCTGATCATTTTTGAAAAATGTAGAAATTTCCTTAGTGTGAAGCAAATTCTTAGGTCTCCTGGTGTTCTGATGGAGCAAACCTCAGGCGCTTCATTTATAGCAAAGCCCAAGGACACACCTATTTCATTTTCTAATCAGCTGGATAATCGTCTCAAAAGTAAAAACATAGCAGATTTATGTCATCTTTTTAAGATTTAATATCTGTTCTTTCATTCATAGAGAGTGCAAGATTTCGTTTTCTAACTCTATCAAGTAGAAACTGAAAAACGTGAACCAGAAAAAAGATTTATACCATTATTTTTTTTAGCTTGTGTTTGTGTTTTTTGTTGTTGTTGTTGTTGTTGTTGTTGTTTTTTATGATAATTGTGTCATATAAAGACAGTGTTGTACAAAAATTGGCTATGGTATAACAAAAACTGAGGCAGCAGCAACATGAGATGACGTCAAGTTACCACATAAAAGCATAAAAACACAAATCTCCACCTCTATGTCAATCTCTTAATACTTGCGATTAACATGAAACCTTTAGGCGATTTTAAAGTAAACGTAGAACAACAGTCGTTTAATTAGTTTAATTAGTTCAATTAGTTTAAATGTAATTTAATTACTGTCAAGTAAAAGTTTATTTATCCGAAATCTGTTTTTACTTCTTGATTTTAATCTTGGAAAATTGAAGATAGGAGATTTACAGCAATGTTTTTCAGGGAGTCTTTACTTTCTTGGCAGTTTGCAAGACATTAAGGTAGCTAAAATTAAAAAAAAATAGTTTTAGTTTTTTAACCTTCAGCTGGTTTCAAGTAAACCTCGGATAATGGTCGTTTAATATATGTGTATTTTAATTACCGTCATGTAAAAGTATATTCATCTCAATTCTTTCTTACATTATTTTATCTTGGAAAATTGAAGGTTGGAGATTTACAGTAATTATTTTCAGGCAGTAGTTTTCACCTTCTTTGCGGGTTGCAAGCAGTAGCGGTTTTTGGCAAATATAAATAAATAAATTGCTCGTACTCATGCTGCCCAGACATCAGCCAGCGCATATTGGGAATGGCATAGGCACCATCGGTTTTCTATCGCCCATTTGCTGGGAGTAAGGGCGCCCTCCGTTTGCGAGGTGCGCCTGCTCTTGTGGCACAGGGAGGAGAGGGCGGGGCGGATTCTTTGGCTGGTTGGATAGCATCTAATAACCAACTCGCAAAATAAAACAAAAAAACCAACAAACACAAACACGAGACATCATGATACAGACTTATCATCTCGATGTTTATTCTATACGCGAAAAGTGAGCGCGAGAGCCCTCGGTGCGCCTGCTGCTGCTGAAGTCAAAGTAAACTTTATTGTCATCTCCGCTACATACAGTCCAGTATATAGAGAGACGAGACGACGAGGCTCCAGTTACAGCAGTGCAAGTAAACAAACAACTAAATATAAGAAGAGTAAGAAAATAAATATACACTTTAGGACTCGGGGTAAAGGGATCAATAACAATTTAAAATTTATAATTTACAGTTTGATGGATTCTATGTGAAGTTCTCAGTCATCCAGGTCATCGTAGTCAAAGGAGCTTGCAAAGAAAAGCGTCTGGACTTCTTTAAGTTACTTGAAGACGTTTCACCTCTCATCCGAGAAGCTTCTTCAGTTCTAAGGTCAAATGGTGGAGAGTCCCAGATATAAACCTAGTGGGAGTTTCCCCCCACAGAGGGACAAAAGGACCCCCTGATGATCCTCTAATCGCCTGAGCCAAGGTGTGAAACTGGGTGTGGGTCCCAATCAGCCAGAGTTTCGGGTGAGTTCATTGTGAAACCTGGCCCCACCTTATCATGCGAATTCCTGAGGTCAGATGGCCCAGGATGTGAGTGGGCGTTAAGGCGTCTGGGAAGGGATCTCAAAACTGGATTATAGATGGCAGAGAGTTGGTGTCGTAAACCCCCGCCTCTGTTCAAAGATGGTCGCTCACAGTGGACATAGATGGCTTCTTTCACTCCTCTTTCAAACCATCTGTCCTCTCTGTCCAAAATGTGAACATTGGCATCCTCGAAAGAGTGTCCTTTATCCTTAAGATGCAGATGGACTGCTGAGTCTTGTCCTGTGGAGGTGGCTCTTCTGTGTTGTGCCATGCGCTTGTGAAGTGGCTGTTTGGTCTCTCCAATGTAGAGGTCTGAGCATTCCTCGCTGCACTGTACAGCATACACCACATTGTTAAGTCTGTGTTTTGGCGTTTTGTCTTTCGGGTGAACCAGTTTTTGTCTGAGCGTGTTGCTGGGTCTGAAATGCACTGGGATGTCATGCTTGGAGAAAACTCTCCTGAGTTTTTCTGATACACCGGCTACATAGGGGATGACAATGTTGTTGCGTCTGTCCTTCTTATCCTCCCTCGCTGGTGTCTGATCTTCTTTTCTGTGCCTCTTTGCTGACTTTAAGAACGCCCATTTAGGATAGCCGCACGTTTTGAGTGCTTCCTTTACATGTGTGTGTTCCTTCTTTTTTCCTTCAGGCTTAGAGGGAACATGTTCTGCCCGGTGGTGTAGGGTCCTAATTACTCCAAGTTTGTGTTCCAGAGGGTGATGGGAGTCAAACAGGAGGTACTGGTCCGTGTGTGTGGGCTTCCGGTAAACTTCGATGTTGAGGTTGCCGTTCTCTTCAATGTGCACAGCGCAGTCCAGGAAAGGCAAACAGTTGTCCTTTGTGTCTTCCCTGGTGAACTTGATGTTTTTATCCACACAACTGTCGAAAGGGGAGGGGGGCCGGCTGCTTCCAAATAGAGCACATTTCATTCATAATGATGTAAATCCAAGCCCATTATGTATTCATGATTTGAATCCTGGGTTGTGTGAAATCCCAGAAATACACCTTAGACAAAGTGAATCTGTGAACTAAGGTGTAGGTCTATTAGGTTATGTTGTGGCGATCCTCGAGTTGGGGGATTTGTGTTCATACTGGAGTGCAAAATTAAAACCAATGGAAGATGGACAAGAAAAGTTCAAAGCCATCAGGTGCTCAGTTTAGAAAAAAGAGAAAAGAAGAGGAGGAGAAACGAGCAAAAGATACAGGTAAGCAGATGTGTCATTGGATAATGGCAGGTCATCCTGAAACAATCAGAATCAGAATACTTTATTAATCCCTAAGGAAATAATGTGGGTTACAGTTGCTCCAAGAAGAAATGGTAAAAATAGTAACAGTAACAGACTTCTCATTGTATGACGAATTATGATGGCTGTTTGGTAGCCGTTTGCATACAATGCATACTCTCTCTCTCTTCATATGTGTGTGTGTGTGTGTGTGTGTGTGTGTGTGTGTGTGTGTGTGTGTGTGTGTGTGTGTGCGCGCGCGCGTGTGTTTCTCTGGCGAAATTCAGTATGGTTCCACACAACAGCTTTTATGTTAATGTACAATCCTTAATATGTTTTGTGTGTGTGTGTGTGTGGGGGGGGGGGGGGGGGGCGGGCGCGGGAGGCGGCGCCCACAGGAGTGTTCGCCCGGGGCGCCAAA